GGCTTGCGGTCGGCCCTCGGTTACCCTCTGGAGTCCTGGCGGCAGCCTACTGCAAAGTCTAGTAGGACCCAGTGTCTAGCAAGATGGAAAACTCGACAGAGGTGCCGTGCTCCTCTTGGAGGAAGCGTTGTATTTTATTGCTTAGCTGAATTTCTTCCTGCGGTAACTCCTCTCTCCCTCTCTCTCGTCTGGACGGCTGAAGACCCTGTTACCGAAGGGCAGCGTATGTTGTTTCCCCGATCTTTTCCGTTGTGTACGCCCAGTGAAAAGCCCCTGATTTGCCTGGAGCAACGAATGGCAGCGGTTTCCCTGGGAAACCACCCTGATTTTGCTTAATCAAGTTTGATCTCGTTTTCAGAATGGGTTTAAATGCGTGCAGTTCATGTCAGGCGTACCACCTCCTGACCTGCTGCAAACAGCCAAATATTCCTTCTCGGTCTCGTAATTGCCGCAGCCTGTCTGCCGTGTTTTTCCGTCTCTCTGAGGCTGTGCGAATGGTTGTGAATGAAGCCAGGAGAGCTAACCGCAGCCACCAGACGTGCAGAATTAGATGCATTAAAGACCACCTGATTTTGTAACTTATTAATTACTAAGGTGTTAATATACATTGCCTGAGCGGATTTGCCTAATTCCGTCATTTGAATGTCTTTTTAAAAAAAACAAAAACAAAAACAAATTTGGAGCAGGTATGTTCCCCATGTATTCTCTCCCCTATGCTCTACCTCCATTCGTGGTTGCTCTGCATTTTCTCTGTTTTATAGCTTTTTGATCATGTTGCTGAATGCCTGGGAGACTTTATGGAGAAACAACAGATCAAAGACAAGAAATTACCAGTCGGGTTTACGTTCTCTTTCCCGTGCCGGCAATCCAAGCTGGACGAGGTAAGAACACGTCACGATTTTCTTAATACGCAAAAGAGTTGCTGTGTTATTAAAACGCAGCTGTGCAAGCAGTATCCCAGAAAGGCGTCATCTGCGGAATAAACTGAGCGGTATATGTCACCGGAAGACTTGAAAGAGCCGGTTAAGCGGTGAGGGTGACGCAGCGAATGCGTGGTGCTAGCTCTGCGTGAGCTCCTCAGCGTTACGGCTTACAGCGTAAACGCGGTGGTGGTTTTGCCTGGCTGTTGCACAGCCTCTTTGACCCCTCTCAGTGGGCTGTAACGGGAGGTGATCCAGCCCAGCAGCGTTTGCACTTGCTGGCTGCGGGAACGGATGTGGAGGAGGGCGTCCCCACACCGTTCCTCGGGGCGCCAGGCAGGTCCCCGGCGAGGAACATCCCGGAAAACGGGACAGAAGTGGGAAAGCGGGGGCGAAGCCAACACCCCCCGCCAGGAGCAAAGCTGCGTCGGTGCGTGAAGGGCGCTCGCGTGCGGGCCGATCTGCCGAAGCTGTGACCGCGCGGTCCGGCGGCGGGGAAGGGCGAGCTGCTGGCTGTAGATGCTCTTTTCATTCTTTCCCTGTTACTAATTTACTGAGCGCTCTGAAGTGGCGCTAGCTAAATAGGAAGAAATCAGATGTAGTCGTTACCCTGGGGGATCGCCAGTCTCTTTAAGATGGTTTGCAGGCAGGGAATTCAATATCAGCACTTTTTTTAAATCTGATCCTGCCTGCCTGTCAGTGAAGGTTTTTTTTTTTTTTTCTTTAAACCGTAATCTGTCATTTTATACCTGTGTTTTGCTTGCTTTCATCTTTATTGAATTTTGAATTCTGGTCGTTCGTCTTGTTTTTATTCCTCTTCATCCTTGTCAGCGTAAAAATGACTTTCAGCCTTAGATTTGTGCCTAACCGCAACGCGTCCTGACGTCGTTACGTACGTGCGTAGTCACTTACGTACAGTCGCTGTCCTGTCGTCAAGCTGCTGAACAAGCCCATCAAGAAGCGGGGGGTGAGCCGCGCCGCCTTCTCGCTTTACTCGGGCCCCGGGCACGCCGGCGCGTCGCTCTGCCAGTCTGGGTGGCCGCCTAGGTCCGCCGTCCGGCGCGGAGCTGTGCCGTTTGGGACAGCAGCGGACTCTTGAGCAAGCCTGAGTTTTGGTGTCACCGAACAACGTTCCTGCAGTCGGTCACTGCGTCAGGCAACGACTGGGGAAATTTGGGGGGGGGTATAAGTGGGACTGATGATAACCATGAGCGGTGTTTTCCAGAGGCGCCACAGGGTACAAGTAACGCTGTGTTTCCCCTGCCAGGACTACGACGCCGATATCATGGCTGTGGTGAACGACACCGTCGGGACCATGATGACCTGCGGTTTTGACGACCAGCGCTGCGAAGTTGGCCTGATCATTGGTAACGCGCGTTTCTGCCGCGGCGTGTGCGCGGCGCGGTGCTCTGCTCCGCGCGGCATGTTTCCTGACGCCCTTTCCCTAAAGGCACCGGCACCAACGCCTGCTACATGGAGGAGATGAGGCACATCGACCTGGTGGAAGGTGACGAGGGGAGGATGTGCATCAACACGGAGTGGGGGGCCTTCGGGGACGACGGGTCGCTGGAAGACATCAGGACCGAGTTCGACCGCGAGATCGACCGTGGCTCCCTCAATCCTGGAAAACAGCTGTAAGCGAGGCTTTTGTTTGCGAGCTGTCGGGTTTCTGCTGCTCTGTGGTGTGATCCAGGCTAAGTTCCTGCCTCTCAGGAGGGCCAGAGGGGCCCGGGCAGCCCGGTTGCGGCGGGGGGGGACCAGCCGGCGCTGGGAAGAGGACAAGGGCTCGCCTGAGCAGTTTGCTCTTTGCTTCGAAACTGTGCCGTTGGCAGCCGCAGGCACAGAGGGGACCTTCCCCGGGGAAGCGCGGCATCTCGTCAGGGTTATAGCCGTCCCCATTAGGGGCTGTTAGTATTTACTGTGTTGGCTTCAGTTCACAGCTTATCGCCATAGTTCTGGCCTGAGCCAGGTGATTAAAATTAACTCAGGCTTGTTTGTTATCTTACTTATTATGCTGAAAAGGGCGGGGGAGCAAACTCTGGGGCACAGCGCCTACCTGGCAAGGTCCTATTAGCGTCCAAGGCTGCCAGCGTTAGCTCGGATCTTGCCTCAAATTGGTGTTTTTTTGTTTGTTGAGTAATTCACGTGCATCTTGTCTTCAGAGTCGTGACTTGTTTCCCCATGCTCCTGATTTATTTCCCGTCAGCTCCAGCCCCATCCTGCTCCTGCTTTTCAAGCAGGCTTCGAGCCCTCACTCGGTCCAGCCGCGGCTCAGGTGTCCGCAGCGTTTCGGATCCTGCTGGTGCCTTGTTGGGGTTATTTTCTTTTTTCCTTTTGCCTTGCACGGCAGTGTCGGGGGAGAGTGGCGGGGGAGACCCGAGCTGCAGGTCGGAGGGACTCGTCAGCAGGGGTTGGAAGGGCTGGGCCAGGGGGGCCGTCTCCTTGCAGAGCCGGGCAGGCCCCCCCCAGCCGGCCCCGGGGAAAACGCAGGAGGAGCTGGGATACTCCGAGGAGGTGGAGGACAAACGTGATGACAGCCCTCACGTAGCTCAAGGGTATCTGCACAAAGCAAAGGGATAGGCTGCTCGCTGAGGACAGGACAAGTAGCTCTTGCTCAACAGCAGCAAGGAAGATTTTGGCAAGACGTCAAGACAAACTGTTCAGTGTCGAGGGTACGGCAGCAGTGGAAGAGGGTGGCTGTGCGAGCTCCCTCCCTGGAGCTTGGTAAGGACAGGCTGGACAAGGGTCTGGCGCTGGTGAGCGTACCTAGTGTAGAGCGTGGGGATAGAAGATGGACTAGAAAACCCGCGAGTCCCTCCCAGCCTCGCTTTCTGTGGCTTGGGGAACATCTTACATTACTGAAGAATCTCCAAAGTCACCTTTGCTTGTGGAGGCAATAAAAATGAGAGGTTGAGTGAGACGGGGGAGTGCGAGAAGGCACAGCAGGCAGATGGATGCCAGCTGGAAACGAGTATTTTTGATTTAATTCATTATGTGCTTTAATTTATTAAAGATGTTCTTGCTTCCTCTGTGGCTGCTTTCCAGTTGTTTGCTCAATGCTGTTTTTTTAAAAAAGGGAAAAAAAAAGACATAAATTCCCCCTACTTGCTGGTTCAAAGCCTGTTCCCATCTTGTGGGGTGAGGCCTTGCTTTGTGTTCACCTGACCCCTTCCTGGCGAGAAAGCCCTGGCGTGCAGGAGCAAAGCCCTTGGCTTGTCCGCAAAGGGCGAGCGGGTCCCTTTGCAGGGTGGGCCCTGGGCACGGCCACCCTTGGTGGCTAGGATTTCAGCCTTTGTCAACGTGCAGGTGCAGTTTTTTGCTCCCATCTGATGAGCGTATTTTCCAGTCCTTGCTCCCTTTTCAGCTTGCACTTCGAACTCAGTGGTTGAAGAATATTGTGAATAAAACTGGAGTTTGCCCGCGGTGACTGCTGCTGCCCTTCCCTGCAGGTTTGAGAAGATGGTGAGCGGGCTGTACATGGGGGAGCTGGTCAGGCTCATCCTGGTGAAGATGGCCAAAGAGGGGCTGCTCTTTGAGGGGAGAATCACCCCCGAGCTTCTGACCAAAGGGAAGTTTGAGACGAAGCACGTTTCTGCCATAGAAAAGTGAGTACCGTTATCCCCCCCTAATTAATTTTCTGGTGCCCCTTGTATGGGGGACACGCTGCATCGAGGGTGGTTACCACCGTCGCCCACCTGAGCCCAGCAGCACCTGCCTGCACCCTCTCCTCCGAGCTGCCAAGGCAGGTTTTGGCAGCACGCTGCTGGTGCTATCACCCTTCTCCTGGGATTTACTGCTGGTAAAAGCCTGCCGTGGGGTGGGAACAGCTGTGAAGCCCAAGGCTGAGTCGGCCTGCAGGGACACCAGCCTCCCCATCCCAGCGCATGGTGCTGCCGCTCGCAAGCCGCCGAGGTCCCTGCACCGCCACTAAATGGGGGAGTGAGGT